AATACTTTCATGTGGACATATATATCATAGAAAATGTATAGAAAAAAAATTTTTACTTACAACAGAAAACAAATGCCTTTTATCTAATTGTAATAAAATCATTGATCTAGTAGTATTTGAACAAAGGTTTTTTGAATCATCATCTCAGTCTAGTAGAACTTCTGCTCTTGCAGAAATATTAGGTGATAACTTTGAATTAGATTCTCCAATGGCTGTATCACTATTATTAGGTTAGAAAGACCCTCTACTTCATGAGACAAAAGGTAGTCACAATAATAATCCAATATTAATTAAGAGTAAAACATAGAAAAAGTGTGTTAGTGATGCTAGTAATAAGTTAAGTAAAAAAGTAAGAAAGCAGGTTAAAAAAGAAGATTCACCTACATTAAAAAAACTTATAAGTGAATTAACTACTGATGTTTCTGAAATCTCAAAAGTTAATGTAACATATAATAAAAATGCTATAAATTTTTTACAGCTCAATGATAATATTACCTATGTAGAATCCAAAAATGAAAGCACAAATCAGGAACTCATTCAGTGTTATTACTCCTTTGGGAATAGTTTATCAATGCACATAAATTATTATAAAAATTTGAAACATGGAGACTTAGCATCCCAAGCATTAGTTAATGAAGAGGTTCGGGAACAAATTGGTGAAAAAATTTCTAATGATACTCTTCATAAAAGAACTGAAAAGGTGCGGAAAATATATGCTCTTTTTAATAGTATTTTTAAAGATAGGGAAAAAGAAATGATAGTTCGTATTAAAACATTTTCAACATCATCTATATCAAAATTAAGTTGGGAAGAGATTGAATACATAATAGCCAGGGTAATTCGTTCTAATCAATAAGTGTTTTGGTATCACATGATTACTGCGCCTGTGAACTCGAGTTCACACTTAATGTCAAACAAATCAAAAATAATTATTATAATTTGAGTTACGGAATATTTATTTGTATATCTTATAAATAATAACAGGTGTTGAAATTCTATACACGAGAGTTTTTACCTATGCTGTAAATGATCACAAACATAAATACCACCCATTACAGGTTTGTATATATAAAAAATTAGAACACGTACATACGTACCAGTATATTATTTTTTTTCTGCTAATATATATGGGTGAAAAATATACATATATATTTTAACAATAATTCTCAAATGATTAATAAAAATAAATCTGAATTAGCGATAATGATTAACAAAATTTATTGTTATTATTGTACGTACATACGTACATAATTTGTTGAAGTGTACAACATCAGTCTAATTACAAACATAGTGCAGGTGATCTACTGATGATCACTAATCAAGATTTTTTATAATAAAAATTTTTTGGATCGAAATTCAATATTAAAGATTATGAGAAATAACCTTTAATTCCTTGCATAATATCTTATCTTGTTTACTTCTATAAAAAAAATTTGGTTAATCAAAGATATCCTTATATTGTAATAATGTCAGAATTTTTGACTTGCTAATAAAATAACTTTATTTCATGGGTACGTACTAGCAAAGTTTAGTCACATGATAGATTTTTATATTGTACAGAGAGATAGTTATAGCCATTAAACTTCTTTAGTTTTTTCTTCAATATCTAATAAATTTAAATTTTAGTAATTTTCTTCTTTATATGATAACAACGTTAGAATTTTACTTATCTCTCGATAACTAATAATTTATTTTATGTAGTCAACTCTTTCTACAACGAACTGATTCTGAAGAAAAAAGAGTTAGTTATAGAAAACTACTGTTTTCTTAAGAACTCATGGCACTTTTTATACAAAACTATTATAAAATTTTAAAATTTTGAATTCGTTATCTCCAGAGCTTGTTATAGAAAGATCCGTTATATCCCAAGTTGATTTATATGTAATAAACTATGATCTTTACTTTGGTCGAATAAATTTGCAAAATACTAAATAAAGGATATATTTAAAAAGGTATTTATTGTCTCGTAAATATGATACTACTACATATTTTTTAAAAATTATCAAGAAAATAATACCATTCAACTAAAGATCTAATGTATGTACTAAATATTATTAAATAAAATTTAGATCGCGATAAAAATAGTAATGATGAATATAGAAAGCAATTGTATTGAATATTGAGAAGTTAAGTGTCTTATAATAAAAACTTTAAAATAATATCGATTTAGAAAAATTATTTAAAAATTAATAATGCTATTATAATCGTAAGATTTTATATCTAATTTGAAAAAGTGAATATTTATTTTTATTATATAATTTTCTTGTTCTAAGTAAGAAAGCTGTTAAGAATTTCATATATTTTTTCTTCCTCAGAAACCTTACTATTTTCTAACTGTTCATTAATTCTTAAATTTTTAGCATTTTGACGAGCATTCCACAACATATCTTGTGAAATTTTTTGAACACCATCATCCAAACCAGAAAGTTGAATACGTGATTCCTGTAATTGAATATTCATATTTGAATAAACCTTTATATCATAATGATTAAACAACTCTTCTAGTTGTTGTTGATGTACTACGATACTCCATATACGGAATTTAATAAATTCATAAATAAGAGAGAATTTAGACAGTTCTGCTATATCAGAATTTGCAAATGTTTTGAACTCCTCAAAGAAATCATGGTATGATAATGCTTCTAACAATCCAAAAGTATTTAGATATCCATTAGATAAATCTTCTTTTAGAAGATTAGTATAAGAAATCTCTTTTGGAGTAGGGATTTTTGAGGAGTTTTTATTAAAAAATACTTTTAGAAAAGCACAAGCAAATTCTGGTCCACTTTTACTACTCAATCGACAAATACATAAAGACAAGTGAATTCAAGATTCCTTCTATTTAATGAATCCGTTTAATGCATTTTCTATACCGGTACGTAATGATTCATGAAAATTTTTTGAATCTGTTGTATTCAACTCACACTCAGCATCAGCTAATTTATCTCCAAATAATTTATAAATATCATTTAAGCAACTTTGAAGATCTTGAATTCATAAAATTACCTTATCTGGCATTTTATGAGCATGATTTCTTGGTGGCAAAACAGAATTTATATTATTTTGTTGATGAATATGTGGTGTTGAATTGTAACTGACCAAGAAATTGTAAATAGGTTCATAAAACTCTTGGCCAAACTTAACTAAACATTGTATTTAGAGATTAAGTTTTTTATCTGTTAACCACTTAAGAAATATTTTCCACTTATGTAGGTATGATTTTGGAACATTTTTTGTATTTTCAAGTTGTTCAATAAAGAACTGTACAAAAGAAATATGAACTTCACGCATATTGAGGTATTGTTTGGCCATCTTAAGCTCATATAACTACCGTTGACGAATAGATTGTTGATATTTAGTTAATTCAAAATTGAACAGTAACTTATAAAGTTTTTGAAATATTTTAGATTTTAGATTTAACGGACTATCTTTGTCTGAACAATTATACCCATTATGAAGGTAAAAAGCCAGATTAAGTAGATTATATGGATGCTCTTTTAATGATAATCCTTTAATGGCATCTAACTTTCCAAATACTGTATTTTCAAAATTTGTTAATGCGATATGAGTTACATGCAATCTACAAGGAATTCAAAATGATTCCGATGATACTAGTAAGTTGAATTTGGCAACTGTACTATTAAGTTCTGAAGACATATAGGCTATATTATCAGTTAGCCAAAAATGACACTTTCGAGAATTAATGCCTTTTTGTTGGCATGTTTCAAATACTGTAGTTGAAACTGTCTTGGCGTTACAGTGTGTTAGGTCTGCTAGTTTTACTACAGAAATTGCTGGCTTGTCTTTAATGATATTTCAATATGAAAAACAGATAATTAATATTTTTTTTTCCCCTCTAGTACTTTCATCAACCATAATACCATAGCCAAAAAACCTAGAACAATTATCAATAGGATGGTTTTGATCAAAGGACAAAGTTGCTATTTCATTATTCCACCGTGCTAAAGTGTCAGGAGTTACCTACTATTGCAGCACCTCTCCTGTTAAGAACTGGTAAAAGGCTTTAGTACATTCTACTATTGTACATATAGAGGTTTGTCCTATATTACTAATATCAGTTGCTAATTTAACAAACTTTGCACTATATTCTTTATTATTTACTTTAAATAATTTATTAGTTGCACGTTGAAATTGGTCAGGTTTAATTTGTTTTGCTTCACGAATAGCAGCTCAAATTTTAGAAATTTGTTTTTGCTTTACTTGTTTGCTCTGGCTAGTCATATAGAAAGTGAGCGAATTTGGGTACTAGCGGTAGCTCTATATGTTTTTAGATGCCTATTCTCTTGCATCAAACCTTTATTTTGTAATTTTAATGAAGGAATATCATGGTCTATTTTATAAAGACTATCATTAATAAAATCCCGTACCTTTTTTTGCAAATAGGTAGAAAGTAGCTCTCCTTGATGATTTCCTCGAGTATAAACCATTGTTTGAAAAAGAGAAAATGCATCAAATATTTGTTAATCAGGTAAATCATAAATATGCAAAAATAGATCAATACATTTTCTTTAAACACAGGTATTCATTTTTTGAGATTCAAAAAGTTTTTTATTACATAATTAAAATTGTTGTCTTTTAACTGCTCAAATATGAGAATTAAATAACCAAGTAACTCAACTCATTGTTCACAGTTTCGAAAACTTCAGCTCTTCTTAAGGTGCTTATTTCATGGATTTAGCTGACCCATTAGAGAATATATTCTAGAAGCAAAACTAATATTTAAAAAAACGTGAAATTGTGATGGCTTATACGCTTGAAGTTTTGGTTGATTTTAGTATATTTGGGATATAGGCAAGTTTTTTAAAATTTTTGCTTTGGATAATTACGCATTTATATCTAATTTATCAATTGTTTTTGCAAGTTGTTATTACAGGTTATTGAGGATAGCTTTTTTGCTTAGATTAATTTAAAATATTTATTATCGTTATATGAGTACAGAACTTTTTATCATGATGAATTCATCTTTTTAGATATTTGCAAAATTATGAAAGCTAAACGTCGAGAAAACATAATCGCAAGATTAATAATAATGAGCAAATACATTTTTGAATATATTTTTCTTAGTTAAAGATGAAAATAATAAAAGCAAATGTGAAAAAAATTATTGTTTGCTTCAATTTTGTCTTAGTGCATTTTTTATTATAATTATAATATATATTAATTTAATAAAATAGTTTATTATTTATTTATATATAGTTCAATTATTGAAATAAAATACAAGTTGCCAATAATGAAATTTTTCATACCGATAATTAATGATTGTATCCAAAGCTTAAGCGACTATATTGAAATACAAAAATATTATTTTTGATCTATGAATTAAATATGAAAAAATATTTAGTTTATTGTATTAAACAGAATATTTAAACAATAAGATGCAGATGGCAAATTACTATAGTAGTTTAAACCCTGATTATATTTTGGTTTTAAATTCAATTATATTATACCAAAAACTTATAACGAATATTAAATTGTTTTTAATATATTTGATTTATTCAATTCATTTATTGAAATGAAGTTTTTGACATACACTAAAATTCTTTATGTTGATAATAATTAAGAATCGCTATCTTAGTTCTAAATCAATCACAAATGTAGTTTGGTTGAGTCAAATTGTTTTAAATAGAAGATAGAACTTAAGAATATTCTTCGATTTCTGATAGTACTTTGATTTGTATTATAAAACTAATAATATAATGAATGAAAAACATAATTCAATCGAATGAAATAATTATACCAATATTTTTGAAAGATGAAGACGATTATATATTACTCTTAATTAAGTATTATTTATTAAAAATATGACGTATATAATATTAGCTATTATAGTAATTCAAAAGTCCTTTTTTTAGTGACTTTTTTATAAAAAAATTTTTTATATTATTTGATTAACAACATACTATATTTATATCTCAATACGTAGTAATACTTATAGACATAAATTTTGATACAGCTAGTAATGGGACTACTGAGTTATTAGTTAATAATAAAACAATTATTAATCGGTTAATAATAGTTAGTAATAGTTAATAATTTCAGGTAATTGTTAAAAATTGTTATGCAAGCATTTTAATAACTACATATTTCAGTATTGTTTGAGTCAAAATTCTGACAAACCATCCTGACAACCAAATCTCCAGCAAAAATTAATCAGAATTCAGCTAAAATTAACCTAATGCCATGGCACTAATACTAGATACATTATTAATTAGTTTTTAATTAATAACTCGAGCTAATTGTTAACAATTATTATTAATTATTAATAATACGAAAAGTCCTATCACTAGATACAGCAATAACTAATAAATAAATATGAAAATATTTAATGTATCAATAAACTCTTTAATGTTGCTTATACGATTCCCTATAGTAAAACCTGATTGCAAGTATATTGTAGAACAATACATACTTATGACCAGGTTTTACCATAATCAAAATCGCATAAGCAATATTTAAAAAAACCAATGATACTCTAAATAGTTAAGCGTTGAAGTTAAAAACAATTTCATAACATGATGCAAAAAATTAAACAGGTTTGCTAAATAGGCTATATTGATATTTCATACTTTCCATATTTGTACCAACAAGATGAGCTACTAAGATATAATAATGACTGTATTTAAACAAGTTAAGTACCTAGACTTTAGTCTAAAATAATAATAAGTATTATTAGCATCGTAATAAATCTCTAGATTTGAATAACAAGAACTTCGTAAGCTTATCAATTTTTTTTGTTCAGATAAATTCATCAAATTCTCCCTATCTAATAAATCTATCAAATTACTTTTATTTGATAAATTCATCAAATTCCCTTTGTTTAGATAAATTTGTCTAAATAAATTCATCAAATTCCTTTCATACTTGCGTTATCCTAGCAATTATTCATGAATAAAAAAAAAACAATTATTAGCATCATAATAAATCTCTAGATTTGAATAGCAAGAACTTCATAAGCTTATCAATTTTTTAGTTCAGATAAATTCGTCAAATTTTCTTTGTCCGTTAAATCTATTATTTGATAAATTCATCAAATTCTCGTCAAATTCCCTGTTTAGATCTAGATAAATTCATCAAATTTCTTTTGTACTTGCATTATCTTAGCAATTATTCTTAAATAAAAAAAAATACAATTAGAACAATCTTGAAAAATCAAAAATAAATATTATAATAATGATTTTTTTGTCATATTGATGTCATGTTTCTATATAAACGATGTCAATTTTTCTTTGCAGATAATATATGCGAATATTTTTACCTTGTCACAACTAGTTATCAATGCCACCTAGACATATCCGTATAAACCATTCTAAGAAATCTAATAAAAAAACCAAACCACCCTTTAAATATAATCTAAGTACCGATTATTTTTGGGTTAACACACTTCTCATTTCTGTTCCTGTCAAAATAAATGATAGTGGCATTAGTTTTTCTGTTTTCATAGAGATAGCTCTCATTCAATGTAAAGCGAATAGTAAAGAACGGAATAAGTATATTAAATAGAAGTTGAAAAATGTCAAGAGTACCTTCAACCTCACCTATGACATAAATGAACCTGATAAAAAAATTTACTCTTTATACAGCGTCCTCGATCATAATAAAATAAGATCAACTAAAGTTTTATCTAATCACTTGGTTGCTTTAAATGGTTCTAAAAAACATGAAATATACATTAATGCAGAACATAATTATTCCACTGTAACAGAAGAACAACAATAATGGCACTTTACTCAAACAGCACCTCCATCTATGGCCACTATGTGGTTCTTTGGAACCACATCTGATTTTAGTAAAGATGCCGAAATAAGAAAAGTTACATTTGAATATGCTATTGAGTATAAAGAATTAGCTCCTGGAGCAAACATATCAGATAATAAACCAGATAATGATTACTCCATATATTTTGAAAACGGAGAGGTGGTGTTTAAAAATTATAAAAGAGATTTAACATCTGATATAGTAATAATAAATTTAAATGATGATTGAGTTAGAGATGAATATGCATATACAAAATATAACTTATGTAATACAATTCTTTTGAAATAAAAAATAAAGCTACTTAACCCAAATTCTTATATAGAAAATTGTTATTAATGATCTAATAAAATCGTTATTAATATAGTAGTTGATTGATTGTTCATAATATACCAGATAGGTAAAACGTCTCTAAACAGACCTTTATTGTTATCTTCGCTATTATTAAAAGTTGCTTATAAATTTATATATCCAAGTGAATGAAAAGTCCTTAGATAGAATCTTTTTGTTAATCACTAAATAATGTATTGCAAATACAGTGCCGTATATATAGATTTATAAAAACTTTCAATATTAGCGGAGATAGCAAAAAAAAATCCTGCTTAGGGACTTTTCATCTACTCAGTATAATCAAAACCGTCTATACTGTTCAAGTTTGCTATTTAAGTTCATCGCCATCGCTATCGTTATCTTTTTGTACAACATAAAAATCTATCATGTGACTAAATTTGGCCAGTACGAACCCATGAAATAACGTTATTTCATTAGCAAGTCAAAAATTCTGACGTTATTACGATGTAAAGACATCTTTGATTAACCAAATTTTTTTTATAAAATTAAACAATATTAAATATTACACGAGGAATTAAAGGTTATTTCTTATAGTCTTTAATATTGAAAAAAATTTTTATTATAACGATAAAAAATCTTGATTAGTGATCATCAGTAGATCACCTGCATTATGTTTGTAATTAGACCGATGTCGTACACCCCAATAATTTGTCCACGTAAAATTTATCTGTGAGACGGGGCACAGGCATATGATGCCACATATTACAGGTTTGTATGTATAATAAAAAAATTAGCCACGTATAATTATTTTTCTATTAATACAACAATGATAAAAAATTATAACAATACATATACAAATAAAAAAAGACAAAATCACTTCGAAAAGTGGCACATCTTTAGAGGCTGGAAGCACGGGTGTAAGGTTTGTGACGAATGCGATCATCATTCACACCTATATTGTAAGACCTGTAAAAAAGTAGCGAATGGCATATATAAGCGATGTGAATGTGATAATTTCTAAGGAAAGAAGCAAAGCTTCGAGTCATCTATATACCCTCGAATAATTAAATCCTAATTATCAATTTGATAACAATAACGATAGTTTAAGCGGAATTTGTAAAATCTTACCGTGACATTGTCTGATTTTCCGTATAACAATAGTTTGTCCATGTAACAAAGATATTCATTTACGTAATCGAAATTTCAAGTAAAATATAAGAGTATTGTTATACGTAGTAATTAGTTACGGTGATGAAAAAATTCGGAAATCTGCATGCGTGATCTTTGTACGACAATATGATTTTCTGTATAAACTATAAAAGGTGAATGTACGACTACTTCCTACTAAAAAAATTCTTTTTTGGTCTATGCAAAACATAAACATGTCTAAGGATTCTCCATCAGTCGATGAGGTTCAAAAAAAATGGAAAACAGCTGATATTATTAAATTTATTCGAGAAAAAAAAGAAGAGTTGGACCTTGAACTTAATGACAAGTACATCGAACAAATCGAAAAAAATGAGGTCTCCGGTCGCGCTTTCCTGAAACTAACTACAGAAAAGCTTCTAGCTCACCCTTACAATTTTCCTGGTGGGCCGGCTGAAATCATAGCGGATTTAGTCGATGAAATTAAAGGAGAAGGACAGGGTAAGTAGTACCACGACTGCATTCGAAGACACAAAGTGTCGAGTCTCTGACTCATATTCCAAACCTA